AGGCATGGGTCAACGTTTTCGTATATCTCCCATACAACGGTACCTCCCGATATTTAGTATTTTGATTATTTTCGACACATAAATTTGCGGATTTGTCTAGAAAATTGTATTTGTAGTTCGTAATGGGCTCCATCTCCGGTTGCGGAACATTGCACATATAGGTCCACGCTTTGCGTAGATCACCCATATAACGGTACCTCCCGATATTCGGTATTTTTATGGTTTTAGTCTCATATTTTTTACGGATTTATCCTAGTTCCGGTGGCAGAACATTAATGTGTAGGTCTACGTTTTCCTACCGATACACGGTATTTTGATAACCCTAGTCGCATTTACCCACGAAATTGTTTCAAATTTGGTATTTAAGAAGATTTGGTAGGTAAAAATCTTTGAAGTATAAAATTATCAATATAGGTTCCCGGTTTGGTATAGCCCCCATATGACGGTCTCATCCACTTTATGGTTTTTTGAAAAGTCTAACAGCATTATCTAAACTTTCTTATTGTCATTTGTAGTTTAAAGTAGAACATGTTTGAATTCAGATACTTTTATATAAACATGCCGAACTTAAGTTTTTTTTACTTGTTTTTGAGATGACATTTCTTCAGTCAAACCAAAAAAAAATTGCAGAACTTGTCAAAATATGGCATATTACACACATATACTTCTTCTAATTTCTCCCAAATTGGTAAATATAATTTTAGGCTTCCAAAAACTTTGAATATTCACACCAAGATCGACGGTTATTTTGCTGTGTACTATTACCGACACGGATTAAATCGTTCATCATTCGTCCTGGCGCACATTCATAACTGCGAACTGTTTTGTACTGTAACGGAAATCAATGAATGCTGTAAAAATTAATATCCTGGAAAAAAATCAACGACAGCATAATCATTGATATACACCTACTCGGCGAGAGGACTTTGTGTAATGAATCATAACAGAGTGGCGCAGCAGCCCACTCTCGCCCTTTCCATTTTAATGTTCGTATTTATTTTCAATGAAGCCAGAAGCAGTTTTTTAATTTTTCCTTTTTTGTTTTACTTGGATTTTTTCGTTGTTGGAGTTTCCTGCCCGACGTCTTTTCAATTTAACACCACAGCTGTTGTCGGTGAGAAATCTATCATTTCGTTCGGCAATTGAGATATGCCTTGCGGTTAAGGACACCATCATAATCGTGGAACGGCATAGCTGCCAGTAAATGATTTATGAAATCAGATTTTTTGTTGAATTAAGTTTTTTTCGTTCTTTTCTTGGTCGTTGTCAATTAAACATAACGGCTCTGGTTTACGGCAGAGTATTTTTCTTGTCTTTTTTAATTTCCACTTGGGATATTTATGAATATATAAATTCGTTATGGCTATGCAAAGTTTCGTGTCATTAACGATGGGTGGTGTGTCACGCTTCCGAATTTCTTCCTGTCAAATCTGACAGCAGCCCATCTCTGTAATTTCAGTGTAAGTGATGAGTGAAGGGTGCTTGTTACTGTTATTGGGTTTCCAACTTCAAAACTTCTGCAACACCTGGTGCGTTATAATTGTATATTAAAATACAATTGTAATTTGTTTTTTTTTTTTTCTTTTTTATAAAGTAATTCGAAATAAAAATATAATTCGAATTTTATTTACACTGACATCTTATGGTTTTGCTTATGTTCATTTACAATAAAATTAATAATACCTAAGACCTCCATAAAATTACTCATTGGTAGCTTTTACCAAGAAAATGTGATACTTGCTTAAATTCCCAGGGAATTCAATTCATTGATGTAAATCTTAGGTTCGATGTGTAAATAGCACGGTTCACACAAAAGGAGGTTTAAAGTTCGATTGCATCAAAGTAGGGGTACATCAAGTTTCCTAGTTTTTGCATTTCGAAAACTAAATCTAGTGTCAAAAATTTATAAAATATCAAAATTTCATTCATATTGAATCTATATTTTATATCAAATAAATAACATGTTTGGAATTTGTTCATTAATTTCTCTGCTTTCGTTTAAATGAGTTGTGTGTGTTTCGGAGTCTTTGAAACGAAGTCCAAAAATGTCGCTGTAGTCGGAGACGAAAAATTAATAATGCAACTGCGGATAATTCTTTTTAACTCCATTTTCTCAATTTAAGCATACGATTTTTCCGTGGTTTTTTAATTTTTGAAAATAAAAGAGACAATCTAACTTGCTGGGAGAAGAGATTGGCACAACTCTTAGTCATTCTGGGGTTACAATTTTGAACGACCCCGAGTCCGAATTGGAGTCGATCAGAAAGGGACCTCCTTTGTAGCCCTGGCTATACGGCAACGATTATTTGGCTCCGAAATCGCGTAATGAATTCTTGTTAAAAAAAAAAAAACAATAAAACAGTTGTTGTTTCCATGAATAACTAAAAAAAGGTAAAAATCTTAAATATATCCCTAACTTATATTCGAAAATCAAAAGAACAAAAAGTGCTGACGCATTCGGTATTCTGATGATTTTAGCCACATTTTTCATTTGAATCGTTTAGAATTCGGTATGTAGGATTTGTAACTGTTTCTATCAACCCCTCCAAATATTTGGTATTCTGCTGGTCTTAGCCACATATTTTAACATTTTTTTTAAATTTGGTTTGAACTCTTAAAAGATAATAACCACTGTAGCAGGAAATCGACTAAAAAGTTTTTCGTTTTAGGTCAGTTTTTAGGTTTAGGTTTGTATAGGGTACAAAGTCCAAGTAATCCGTGTCATCTCTCTCCCCATAGAGAGAAAAGGTTTCGCTTCTTTCATAGCACGTAGCGTCAAGAGAAGGCTGATATGAGTGATTTGTTCTTGAACTAATGTTGGATTGTTAATAACGGGACAACAATCTTGGATGAGCATGATCGTTTTAATTCTTCTTTGTAGAGTGAGGCATTTGATATCATTAAAACAATAATAACATAAATAACAAATATAAAACAATTATAAAAAATGGAATGAACAATATACAATATATATAACTGTATCTGAACCGATTTCCACGGAATTTGACATACATTTTGTCAGGCTTGTGTGGTATGTGTTCCAAATTTTATCCTATTTGGACAAATATTACACATTTAGGGCACAATCGAAGGCAAATCGGAAGAATATATATGTATGGGAATTATACATAAATATCGACCGATTTTTCCCAATTTCAATAGGGTTCGTCCTTCGTTGTTTACAAAAATATACGGACATCCATAAATTGACTCAGAAAGTGATTCTATGCATATCATCAAAAGGAACTATGAGTCTTTCTCGCTTGCTTGTCTGTGTATGTACTTTTTTGTACTATTGAGATAAAAATTACTTTTCTGATTTTTCCACCACCCCTTACGTATGCTTGTCTTCCAATTTAAAAACTATTTAATATTGAGTGTAACTACTTATCTAGACCGACCATTATTTTGTTATACAGGGGGGATAAAGCAGGCCAAGGTGATGGTGTGGGCCGCCATAACAGGAGATGGTCGCTCTCCGCTCGTATTAATCGACCGTGGCATCAGAATAAATGCCGAATATTATCGCGAAAATATTATGGAGAGGTTCCTCGCTTCATTTCCAGCGCACAATGGCCACCAAAATCTCCGGATACCAATCCATTGGACAATTGTGTCTGGAGTATTTTGGAAAGCAAGATTGGCACTAAAAAATACAAAAGTGTCGATCACCTCAAGCAAGCACTTCGCCGGGAATGGGCCAAAATACCGCAGAGCAACATTAGGGCAGGGTGTGACGATTTCATTGGCCGTTTGAATGATTTGATGCTATTTCCGATATTTTTTGCTTTCATTCACTAAAATTAAAAAAAAAAAATGTAAAAATTATGGCATTTGACTTTGTTGACGTTTTTTTATCTAACCGTATACCGTACCCATGTAGCGGTACTAAGTAAACAAGTAAACAAACAATAATTTCGAACTTTTAATACCCTCCATCTTTATGCAAAGAAAACATGTTTACATAAAAGTATCTGAATTCAATTGTGATTAAATTCATTTGATCTACCAAATCTTCTTAAATTCCAAATTTAAGACAATTTCATGGGTAAATGTGACTAGGATTTTCAAAATACCGAATATCGGCGCTACCGGAGCTAGAAACCATTGCGAACTACAAATACCAAATTTCAGGCAAATCCGTGAAAAAATGTGATGAAAATCATCAAAATATCGAATATTGGGGGTTACCGTTATATGGGAGCAATACAAAAGCGTGGACCAAAGTTTCGCCACCCTTTTTGACCTACAAATACCAATTTTTAGAGAAATCCGTAAAAATATATGACAAACATCATTAAAATACCGCATATCGGCTATGCGAAAACGTGAACCGATATATCTCATTTTCAATACCAACCATCCTAGACATAATACAAATTATTGTGCCAAATTTTGGAGCTATACGTCAAATAATGTGGGCTGTATCGCGATTTCAACAGACAGACAGACGTACATCGTTAAATCGACTTAGAATTTTATGCTGATTATTAATCTTTAATATTTAGGGATGTTACAAACAGAATGACAATGTTAATATACCCTCCTTTTCAAGGTGAAGGGTGAATAAAAGTAGGATATTTTTGGCTGGGCCTAATTTCAATACTCTCCACCTCCAGGTAAATATTCCTTTAAAAATAAAAGATTCGGGATTCAATCTTCAAGCGAGTTTAAATAGCAAATACCAGCGGCATCTGTATTTAAAACATCAGGGTCCAATACTGTTATATAGGCAAAATTTCAGAAGGTGAACCCTAACATATTTTTTTCTACAAATTCAAAATACTTACGCTGGAAAATGGGGCAAAAATCATTAAAGCAAGTTGCAGTTACATGGTTGCACATTGACAAAGTTCTGTCCTAGGAGCATACCCCCATTTCGAACTCTAAATGCGAATTTTAAATAATTCCGTTAGACAGCCATGGCTAAACAAAAATAACTTACCTGTATACCTTCGCCGTTAATAACCAAAAAACCCTATTAAAACCACCAAATGAAATTCACACAACATTTATATTTATTTGCAATTATTTAAATTCGTTCAGTATTGAAATTAAATTCTCAATGACATATTTCAATCTATTTGTGTTATGGAACCCTCATCGGGACTAGAACAACGACTGCTATTACCATCATTTCGGTATTTGATTGAATCAATTATTTCAACATCAATGTCCCGCTCACGAGTTGAACTCTCTTCAATGTCATTATCATCGGAGTTGGTGATCGAGTGATGTCCTTCGGAATCTGCATCGCATTCGATGTCGGACTTATTGTCCGACTCGACCATGTCACTGTTTGCCGAATTATTCTGGTCATTTTCCGTCTGTGCCTGGGCGATAAGATCACGTGCCGCAAATTGACTATAGAGACGGGGCAGATGTTGAAGCATATAATTAGCGCTGCATTTGGCTATGTTCGGTTGATTCTCTTTGCTCTCGCCAAAGTCGTAGTACTTGGCATAGTTTTCAAATTTATTCATTACAGCTCCAGCCCCGGTGGAGCTGAGGTTAATGGCATCGTTCGTAGCCTGAAGCGAAGCCAATGTTTTGAGGTCATTGGATCTGGGTGTGGGTACCGTAAACGCTGAACCATGTCTATGTTTATTGGGCAGGTTGAGGGCATTTGCAACAGCAGGAGGAGAATTTTCGCTATCGCCAGCCGATGCTGTGTTGTTGCCATTATTCTCAGCACTGGCTAATGGAGAGACATTCTCTTTTTTGCGATCATAGATGTGACCGGATACGCGTAAATCGATAAAGAAATGTAGGGGATCAATGCCATATGGCGGGTACAGCGGTGGATACCAGACGTGCGGCGGTGGTGGTAATACCAAGTCTTGGGGTGGTAACGATGCAGCTGGGGGTGTACTCTGCAGTGCTGGGTCGGCGATACTCGCACCTCCACCACTGACGGTGGTGTTCGTTTGATCCAATTGCCTATCGCCTATTTTTTGCGTTGGCAAGACATCCTTGGCCGAGTCGGCTTCTAATTTACGATATTTATTGGCCAAATGCTGCAGATATGGCTTGTGTGTGGTCAATTCCAAAGGTTTTTCGGTAGCTGTGATGTGGGGCGTTTGCTGTTGTTGGTGCTGCTGCTGCTGTGCCTTTTCTAGAATCGTTTCATTTTCCTTAAAGTAGGAGCGATGATGGGACCATGTCCGCTTTCTGGGACGCCGTGCCAATGCGGCAGATTGCTGTAATTGCAGATTCCGAACGTTTTCTTGGTTGCGTGCAGCCACAAGTGAACGCAGCATGTCGCTGAAAAAGAAATTGTTGGGTCCCATTGGGGCCGAATACAGATAGGGTGGGGTGGCGGCCATCAAACGGCTTACAAAATCCTGATTTCTCATTTCATGGATGTTGGATTTGCGTGGTGGCGTCGTAGTGTTGGTGTTGTTGTTTGTGTTTGCATCCTTGGGGGATTTAATTTGTGTATGTTGTTGTTGTTGCTGCTGCTGTAATTGTTGATGCTGCAATTGCTGTTGTCGTTGCTGCTGCTGCTGGTGATGTTGTTGCTGCTGCTGTTGTTGTTGTTGATGTTCGTCAGACATGTTTCTCTCGTTGTGGTTCTCTTTGTTATTTGTTTAGTGTCTACAATTAAAAAGAAGAAAAAAAAAAGAAATAAAAGATGAAGAAAGACAAAAATATGTTTTTAAATGGATTCTAAATGGATTTCTTAAATGTAAATTTGCTTCTCCTTGAAATGCAATGTTGGCGGTGAGGCGGTGTGTGTGTGTGAGTCAACACATAACCCCACCTCTATCGCTGCATTGGGTCTACCTCAAAAGCAGGAAGAATAAACAAAGACAACTTGAATCCATTAGACAAATTTCATCTTCCATTATTTAATTGTGTTCAAGATGTTCCAGTGCTTTTTACACAATGAAGGTGGTATCAAATTTTGAAGATGCTGCCTTTCAACTCTTCTGGCATTGTTTTATAATAAAGAAAGGAACAACTTGAACAACTGTCGCAAAGACTTAATGAACACAACACAGCATGGTGTAATGACAGAAACAAGTACAAATCTTGGAATGGAGTTACTACAGCTTTGTGGTAATTTTGGATGCTCCAAAGATTTCGCTTGAATCGGCAGTAAAATAAACCTACGTTACGTCACGACCTGAGTTGCAAAGAATGAATTTTAATAAAGGAACTAAATCTACCTTCTCAAAATATTCATGCTCATGATTACAAATCACTTTATCGATACTAGTGTGTTTGTTGCTTTCATTTTATGTAAAATTCTGCAATTCGGTATATAAGTTTAAATTTTCTGGGATGTGTCTTATTTCAATTAGCCACTTATATTCTCAGTAAATTTTATTTTTAAGGTGCTAAGTAAATGGAGAATCTCAATTCAAAGTAATCCCTACCGATTTTTTGACATTTTAAGAGCCCTAACCATACTTCTTTCACAAAATTTCCAAAATTAAAAATGTTATGCATTAAAAGAGCATGCATTTGAGCCTTCTATGCATTAAAAGAGCCTGCATGCAAAAATTTTAGAATAGGATGGATTTTATAAGATACAAATGAACATTGGTTAGATATTTGTAGCACTCCTAAGAGTGTTGGTATTGATAATAAACTATTTTAGACCAATATAAAGGTACCATCTGATTTTCGGCATTTTCAAGGTTTTGGATCCAATTTCTTACTAAATCAGCTGCAATTTTATACTTCGGGTTGTCCTGGCAAAAAATATAACAGCACTTCCAATGGATTTAAAGTACTTTTTACTAGCTTTGGTCACTACTTTCGACATTCCCCCAATACTACACTACCATATTCACAATATGGTGCAGACCATTTTGGAAATGTAGTGTTTGGTTGTTTAAATCAATATGTCAAACATTGAAAGTCCAAAAATGTGCACTACAGATTGAAAGCCATTCCTGTAACCTGTGATCATGTCCACCACAAGTATTATATCAGATTTCGCTATGGAGATGAGCGATCTTGTTCTCTTCCCAGACATTACATCCCCATTCATCTAGAAATTTATATCAAAATCTTCCGAAGTAATGTTCGTGTATCGCACTAAAGAAGTGGTACAAGGGTGGTCCAACAGAGTTCTCGACTTCAATATTCATTGATTCGGATCCCAGTCTGGCCAATTTATCTTCTGCTCCATTACCGGGAATATTACAATGGCTTGGAATCCAACAGAGCTTGATGGACAACCTGGTTTTTTTCCAAGGCTTTTCTACACTACATAACTGTCATAGATTTAATGGTAAATGAATTTAGTACCACTTAACTCAATGTATATAATCGCCGGACCGTTATCTTCACAAGATGTCTATGTCTTTTTAATCGCAAAGAACTCTGCCTGGCATACGCTACAGTCGCTATATCGGGTTGGGTTGTTACAGGTCCAGACTTCCCTGTCTTGTATGGGTTCTCTGAGTTGTAGGCACACCTGTATCTGTGATCAATTTCACAATTTCAAACCTAACATAAATTTGATAAAAAAAAAAACAAGAAAGAAAGTTGTAAGTTCCCGGCCGGGCCGAACTTTTAATATACTCCACCATTTGGAATGAATTTGGCGATTTTCAAAAAAAATAAAATACGTCAAAAATTCTGGTAAAATCTTAAAAATACCGAATGTAGCCATTATATAAGGGTCTATACGACAACGTGGACCTGTATAAGCAACTTTTGTCATAAGCCATTACAATATTCAAATGCAAAACATGAAAAAAATTGGTGAATAATGTACCTAAAATCATCAAAATACCGAATATATGAAGGTACTATTACATGTGGGCTACACCTAAACGTGGACCTGCACAGACAATTTTCTGTCATAGGCTGTAGTACCATTACGAACTTCAAATACCAAGTTTGAAACAATTCCGTTGAAAAATGTCGCTTAAATCACCAAAATACCGAAAATAGAGAGGTATGGGGACCATGCCAAAACATGGTCCATAATACGCGGACATAATATACATTTGAGTAAAATTTTATCAACCTACATCATTTAGTTCGGAAGCTAGAGTGATTTCCACAGATTTTGGCGCATCCAACCGAATTCAGTCTAGAAGTAAGTACATTAATTTTGATCATCAAATATTGCTCAAATATTGTAATATCAGCCCAACTTGAATAGATTTTTTCATATTTAACCGAATTTTACCATTTGGTGAAACTCGGTCTGGTATATATATTGCTGCAATAAATATTCTTTTATTTTTTAGTACTAAATACGTATAGTCGTGATAATGAGGTTTCTGTTGGATTTGTACGAAAAGTACTAAATAGTATTGTTGGTATCTAGGGTTTACATATGGAACCGTTGAAATAGTTTTAGATAGAAAAATTGGATGTGGGTCCATTGTGCTATGGTTTTACCAGTATCCTCCTCGGTTAACTTCAAAATGAATGATTTTAAAGACTGTTTGGAGTAAAAGGTAGCATTTTCCTATTATTCATTCCGAGAAAGATTGAATATAAAACTCTGAAATTTGATTATTTTTTTTAAATTGTGGATAAATCCGCTATACAGTAAAAAGTTAAGTTAAAGCTAGGAGCTGATTAGAAGCTGATTTTTCTGAGTGCTCCCTATTTCTTTCAATTTGGTGTTTGTATTTATTATACCCTCCACCATGGGTAGGAGGGTATATTAACTTTGTCATTCCGTTTGCAACACCTCTAAATATTCGTCGTAGACCCCATAAAGTATATATATTCATAATCAGCATAAAATTCTAAGACGATTTAGCGATGTCCGTCTGTCTGTCTGTCCGTCTGTCTGTCTGTCTGTCTGTCCGTCTGTCTGTCTGTCTGTCTGTCTGTTGAAATCACGATAGAGCCCACATTATTTGACGTAGACCTTTGAAATTTGGCACAAGTGTGTGTATTGTCTCTAGGATGGTTGGTATTGAAAATGAGATATATCGGTCCACGTTCTGGTATAGTCCCCATATAACGGTACCTCCCGATATTCGGTATTTTGATGATTTATGCCACATTTTTTCACGGATTTATCTGAAAACTGGTATTTGTAGGTCATGACGGGTCCCTGAGCGTGTGGCAAAACATTGCATATATAGGTCCACGTTTTGGTATAGCCCCCATATAACGGAACCTACCGATATTCGGTATTTTGATGATTTATGCCACATTTTTTCACGGATTTATCTGAAAACTGGTATTTGTAGGTCATGACGGGTCCCTGAGCGTGTGGCAAAACATTGCATGTATAGGTCCACGTTTTGGTATAGCCCCCATATAACGGAACCTACCGATATTCGGTATTTTGATGATTTATGCCACATTTTTTCACGGATTTGTCTGAAAATTGGTATTTGTAGGTCACAACAGGTCCCTGAGCGTGTGGCAAAACATTGCATGTATAGGTCCACGTTCTGGTATAGTCCCCATATAACGGTACCTCCCAATATTCGGTATTTTGATGATTTATGCCACATTTTTTCACTGATTTGTGTAAAAGTTGGTATTTGTGGGTCATAACGGGTCCTAGTTCGTGTGGCGAAACATTGTAATTATAGGTGCACGTGTTGGTGTAGCCCCTATATAACGGTACCTCCCGATATTCGGCATTTTAATGTTTTTTGCCACATTTCTTCTAATGTTCTTTTACCCTAGGGTGGAGGGTATTAAAAGTTTGGCCCGGCCGAACTTAATGTTTTTTTACTTGTTGTTTTAAAAAATGAACACAAAAGCATTTTATTATCAACGACGAGAAGAAATTTACATTGCGGGCCCTGCATTAAGGATATCAACCAGTTTTGTTATTGAATTGAAATATGAAACAATATTGATCATGAGTTTTGCCTTGTTAAGGCGAAGATCATATGTTTTATGATTTATGTGTTTGTTTTCTCTTTCGAGACGAGCTTATTATACACTAGAAACTCTCCAGGTTCGACTCAAGTTCTATTGGCAGATCTTTTTCATGTTTTGAAGAGAAAATTCAGGCATTTCTTTTACCTTTCTCGTTTTTTTAATAACCAACATTAAATAAATGAGAAAAACTTTTTGCATTTATTTTGAATATTTCTGCTTTCTGCGGGCATAGCCTCAGGGCTGTATTTATGTACTTTTTCAAATCAGTATCACCTCCTTATTGGTAAATCAAGTCGGTCCCATCTCAGAATTAACTTTTAGTATTTTACTGAAGCGAAAATGATAGTGTTTATCGTGCTATTAATATATGATCGGGATCCAAATTGGATTGATGGAGCAATCCAATTTCGGTCTCAAATATAATGAGCATTCACTCGTAAGTTATAGTAGGGCTCTATGGAAATTAAATATTTGGGATCACGGTTCATTTTTTCAGCCAATTTGTCTATAATTTGGTACTTTCGGCACATACAATTTATAGCTATCTAAGTTCCCGAATATTAATTGTTTATGTGGTTTAGACCTTTCTAAATCGAAGCCAGACAGGTGCTGGAACGGCTGGGAGGTTTTCTACCCCGAAACCCACAAATATGTCGATAATATAAATATTGACTTTGTATTGCACCCAAACTTTGCATAATTCGGTAGAATGTTGTACCCAAACATCAAACGTCATATTGAATACCTTCTCTATATATTATTACCACTGG